TTAGTAAATAAATTTGAAAACTTTTAACCAAAAATAACAAATAAGTGCAATAAATAAATAAATAAATATTTACATAGGACGTGTGCGAGGTAGGCTAAGTTGCATTCTAAATTATGGAAATTCTAAGTTGTGCCGATAATGTAGTGATGTGTCGATACGTGTTGATAAATGGCTAAATGTGTGCAGTGCAAAAAATCTCCCATTTGGTTAAGCAACAACTTAGCCTAATTCGCACACGTCTATAAGTGCAGTTTAAAAAATCCCTAGGTATTTCAATTTACTTTACCTCAATTTACTCGAACTCGCACACGGTCTAAATTAAAATTTATTTCTTTAATTATGAATGGAAAAAATATTCCCTTATGTTTCATATATACGTTTTTTATTGTTTTTAAATAAGTATAAGATTTTAAATAAACCATAACGAAGAATCGTAATTTTTATTCTTATATCAATTTTATTAATACTGTTAGACAACTTAATACTGTTTATTAATACTGTTATTTAAATATACAATAAAAATGAGCAATAATATTTATCTGTTTAATATATATTTTTTTAAATCTATAACATGTAAATTTTATTATTGCAGGGTACATACGCATATAATAGAACCTTGACTTGCGAACCAATAGTTATGTAACTTAAAAACTGCGACCCATCTGTTGGTTTATATAAAATTTCATACATATTTACATAAAAATGTGACGTTCCTATGTTTGTTCATTTAATTATATAAAAATAATTTAACTGACAGTGTGACGTTGCAGGAAGCAGTTGGGGTAAAATTGTCACAGTGAAAACATATTGGCACAACGCAAACCAAACAATGAGATTTTCTACGTTGCCCCGCACCACAGATACAAGATACAGGGTCATTGTGCCGGCATAAAGAAACTGTGTAACGCAAAGGAAAACAATGAACAATTTTTCATACAAGACTATTAGCGATAGTAGCGAGAGATTCGGGAATGAATTCGCGATAAATGGAATGTTTTGCGCATGAATCCAAAACTGAGAACAGAGCTACTGAACATCTTTACACTTACCCCACCACAGAACCAACAAACAACAAATTCCAAACTCAAAAAATGTACCAATAATATTTTGATTCTAGAATGTTTTCATCGATTTCGTTCATAGGGAATAAAACAGATGCAACAGCACAGATACATTCTGGTAGAGATGCACGCAGAGCGCGAAATTTATAAAAAAAAATATTAAATATATATATGTATATATAATAGCTTGTAAGTAATATCATATGTAAAATATATAGAGTTTGGCACATTTTATAAATATTTTATATGTTTGGAAAATGTTTTCAATAAATAAAATATGAAGTCGGAAAATGCAACACTTACGAAGGTCGTACAATGAACTTGAACTCCGATAAACTCCATTTTAAATTTGGACTTCCAGAGGCATTGACATTTTATGAAGCTTATTTTTCATAATAAAAAATAACATTTATATACTACCTCTCTTATACGTATAGTACACCCATCAAAATATATTATTTTACTGCTGGAGAATACAAAGCAAAGGAATATGTCCTGTGGCATTGGGTGTTATGCATGGTTTGGACACGTTCTGTTAATACAAAACTTTTACCATTTATTTATTTTTATTTTTATTATTTTTTTTCTGCTTTATATCTTCTATAAAATCTGTAGATAAAATATTTACCTTATAAGTTAAGAATCAATATCGTTGTATTTTTATTGGTATGACGTGTGTGTATTTAGCACAAGATTTGCAATGAGATTAATATTTTATAGATATGCAGTAAATATTGGTTGAAAGCTTTCATTACTTATAAAGATATTTACGTGACTTATTTTCAAATTGTTTATACAGGGTCATCTTTTCAATACAACTTACAAGTTTATTAGTTCATTACATTTAACAGACATAAAATAATATAGCAGAAAAAAAAGGTACTCATGCTTGGCACGATAAGTAGTCTGGTCAGAATAAAAATGAAATGCGGGGAAAAAACAAGTACCTCCTTTAATTGAGGAGGAACTTGTTTTAGTTAGCTAGATCTATTTTAGCTAGAGATCTATACAAATTGCCAGTTTTGTAACTGAACTTGCCCGTAATATAACATTGGAATTAGAGTCTTCTCTTTAGAGTGTCCTCTTCATCGATTTAGAGTATTTCTTTAAGTTCAACTTTCTCCATAAATTGTAGTATTAAACCTATAATACAAATTAACTATTTTCGTTTATACAAACTTCCAGTCGAACAAACTTCCAGCACGTATTTTAAGAAGTCTTTCTGTCTTCCTTACAAAACCTACTAGTTCCATTATACTAAGTTCTGTTGTTTCTAAAGGTGCATCCAGGTCAAAGCGAACTTTTGCAGGTTCGATTAACTACGAATGTTCTAAAGTGCACTATTCGAATTTCTATAATTCTTAAAATATTTTAACTCAGTTGCATACAATTCTTAAATCGTCTACCTACCATCTTTTTCAAACAACATTGAGATTAAAATTTGGAAGAGAAGAAATGCGGTGATCTTATGATCTTCGCTCGTGGCCATTGATTATCACAACAGTAAACCACTACATTTATCTCACTTTCATTAAACCGAAAGAGATCTGCTAAAGTTAATTAAACAGTATTATAATATTTTTCAACGTAGAAGATCTTAAGAAATTGTAGCCCCCTAAAATCCCTCCCGGATTAAATTGAAAGATTGTTTTTGATACGTTAGTTTCAACTTCATCGGCTGAATAATTGAAAACCATTTCTAATTCACCTGCTACTTCATTTGGTAGTTGTTCTCCATCCTCCATCAACATGTCATCTAATTCCTCCGCATCACTCTGGTTATCGACATTGGCCGGAGGCAAGATAGTAATGCGTGCACTATTAGGGGAATCAATATCATTAGATCCCATCAAAATATCTTCGATACCATAAAATACCATAAAAATTCATAAGATAACATTTAATATTTTCAAACATGGGAATATTTTTCGTGATAAGTTGGAGCAAGTTTATTATTTTATTACTAACATATTAAGCTAAAAAATCAATTGAGACTACCTGCTGCAAGCAATAATTTCCTTACCGGGAAAAAACTTCAGTACTCGTTTCTTGACATTGTTGCGTTTTCGCAACACCTGACTTTGAGAGATTGTATAAATTACATATATCACCAAATATTTACAATTTATATAGATTCGCTAGAATACACTATTGTAATTAAGATTTAGGTAAAAATTAAAACAAATTTACTTCCTATTCTCACACGAAGTAAATTTTTCTAAATACAGGTTTTTTAAATAAAAAATATCCCTTATTGGTAAAGAAGAAAGTACTACGATGGAGACTAAATTAAAAAATTGATTGGAATTAGTTTAAAGAATTATACAAATCAGATTCTGATATAAATACAAATTCTTTAGGTTTGAACAAGTAGACAAATCGTTATATGAAAAATTACAAAAAACGGGCTTGAGTATAACCTCATATGAAAATATGTCTTTTTCTTCGTTGTAGTCAGCTCTCTTTTATGAATTTTATTTAAGTTTTAAGAACTCTGATTTCTTTATCTTTTTTATACTCAACTCAGTTTAATATATATCATATTGGTTTTAGATCAAAATTGTTAAAGTATATCAAAATGTTTGCTAAATTTTACAGCACACCTTAGCAGACAAAATTATTGAAATTTAAGTCGCTGCAGCTCCTATAGTCCTGGTATATTGTCAATGTTTTTGTCATCCTCTTTTGCTCATAAACTCAAACTATTCAGTAATTGAATAGTGTTTTATAAAGCTTCGTTTACTTAAATATAACTTCTGGATGTGATCAATACCAGTTCTCAGGCACATCGACTTGACAATGGTTTAAGTCAGCTATTTTGAGAGATTTTTTTATTAAGCAATAAGTCGTTATAGCTAGATGATGCCTTCACTTTTAGTAATGGTTTTCACGTATATATATAGCTGACTTTAAAGTCAGATATATATTTTGATCTAAGAAACTAAGCTATATTGAAATAACTTTAAGGTTAGATATCTCAAAAACTAAACTATATTGTCAAAATTTTAAGATGAAATACTCAAAAATTAAGCTATATTGATCTTAAGATTATATATCTCAAAAACGAAGCTATTTTGATATAACTTCAACGTTATATATCTCAAAAACTGAATTATATTGTCAGAATTTTAAGATGGAATACCTAAAAACTAAGCTATATTGATCTTAAGATTATATATCTCAAAACTAATAAAAAAACTATACTTGCAAACTTTAAGGCTGCATATCTCAAAAACTAAGTTAAATTGTAGTAGCTTTAATAGATATCAAGATATTTGTATATTGCGTTATGGATTGTTCAAAATATTTGTCTTTACTTTTATGCATTCTGAAATAGCCGTCCCCGGAAAATCGGAATCGTTTCGACCTTTGTAAATTTACTTCACTGACAATTTAGCAATATTATTAATTATAATTTTATGGACGGAACTGGAATTTTTGCTCCATTGACCACTTTTATTATTTCATCCAAAACCAAGTTTTATATAATTTTAAAAAACCAACCGATTTAACTAATTTGCAACAATTAACGTCATAGAGATTACCGTTATATTAACAGAAGAAACATGTTAAAAACAAAAATAATTTTTTTTTTTTGATATTTTTGGGTTAATTTTTTTTCCTTTCTTTTAACAATATATATATTTTAATATATAAACATATGTATATGTATGTATGTATATATAGTAATGATACGTAATGATACGAGAGATTTGTTGCACAGAAAGCAGTTACTGGTTGCTGTACTCTTACTTTTATGATTCACTGTACGAGAAAAAAAAAGAGGATGCAGAATTAAGGAATCGTTAAAATGACTGACAGCAATACCTATACATACGTACGTGTTTATATACATGTGTGTATCAAATTTTGTTTATCTTTACTTCACACCTAACCTAACCTAAGTTCAAGTGATTAATGACTTTCACTTTAGAAAACAAATAAACTCTTTTGTGATGCCCGTTTAAACAAACATTACATAACATTAAGCTTACCACATAAAAATTAAAACAAAAAGCATAAAAAATAAATCAAATATATAAGCAATTTTATAAATTATATTAAATTAGATTTTGAAAAGTAATTCAATATGTTTGAGCTTGCCATACGCTTATTGTTCTAATTAGAATTTCCTTTTCAACAAATAAAAACTGTAAAAAATTGTACAATAAAACCGGTTCAAGCTTTAAACATGAAAGGCAGTTTCTTTTGTATTCTTACACACACACACACACCACACATATGCCGTCCTTCGCACAATAGCTTAAGAGGGGCACGTCATGAAACATATTAATTACTGCACTTTTTTTCTTGTTTTTGCGATTTAATTGTTCAGCTTTTTGCAAAAATTGATTTTTTTCATACACTGCATACACTGCAACCAAAAACTAAAGTTTCTTTTACCTCTTGTAATTCTTTTTCGATTTCACCGGCTCTTATAACCAATGGACCACGCACGGCATATTCCATTGTTATAAAGTTGGGATTTATATTATCAAGTGCGAGACATTTAGACGACGACATACTGGCCGATGTACTTAGGGCGCAATGCTTATTTAAACTAGTTAAAAATGGCGAAAGCAAACTCCGACAACCACTCGATTCAAACGCTGCTGCTGGACTGAACATACGTTGCTTTGCCTGCGTATGAGAATGCAGCAGCGATTTCCAGCGTCGCCGTACAACAAAACTTGACGTTGATTTACATTTCAATTGCTGTCTGGATGTTGTGGCAGCGAAGTCGCTGGCACATATTGTGGAATTGAGTAAAAGGCGGCTCATTATTGTTATTGTTTACTTCCAATGTGTATAACAGCTGGAAATTGTTATTGTTGTAAGCTGAAAGTAAACAAAAGAAAAATAATAATAAACATCACTAATGTTTACATTCGAAAATCACAAAATCGCAATATAGTAATTAACTTAATTATATTTTTTAATGATTAAATAATATAATAATAATTTTAAATTAAATGAAACATTTAAAATGTGCGTTATTATATGCAATATAATTAAGTTATTAAAATTAACGATAATAACTACAAATTGTAATTAACTAATAAATTATAAAATTATCATAAATTAATGATTAAACAAAATTCGTGAATAATTATTTCATAAATTTATATAAAATCTTTAAAATCTTTATTTATTATGCATTTATGTAAATGGCATTTACACGTACAGCGGCGCATATTCATGTTTTTGTTTTCGTTTATTCTTTGTTGTGTTTCTGATAGAAAATAAAAACGTCAAAGAAATGGAAAATTATTCCAGTTGGAAGTTTTTGTCGAATCTTATCAGTTTGTTATTGGAATTCTTATCACTTCTACGTCAGAGATAGTTTTTTTTACTTATTGACAAGTACAGTAAGGAGAAAAATTTTGCCTACATGACGCAGAGAATATTCTCAAAATGTTTGGAGAGAATTCACCCTACTTTACGCATGCATATTCGTAGGAAGGTAGTTTCAATACTTTGCCACTACGGCCGTGTACGAGTTCGAATAAATTGATGGTAAATGGAGGAAAATAGTAAATTTTGTCGGTATGGCAGGGAATGTTGATATCTACCAGAAATTAGGTGTTATTATTGTAAAAATTTTATAAGAAGTTTAATAAATAAATAAATAAATTTGAAAACTTTTAACCGAAAATAATAAATAAGTGCAATAAATAAATAAAAAAATAAATATTTACATGAGTGTAGCGTAATAAAAACTTTTTGCTTGATAAAAATCTTAACTAATTGTTAATACTTGACAAATTTATCAAGTTTTCAGAGGAGGGGGTAAATATTATCAATTATCATAAATGAAAAAATATACAGTTTTATAACCTTATTAATTTAATTTAAGATAATATTGAAATTGAAACAATTCCGACATATTATTAGCACAAACATTGAAATAAGAGTATTAAATATAAAAAAATAGATATATAAAGAAAAGATATATAAGAAAAATATAATAGATTGTTCTGCTAATCTATTATAGACGCATAAATTGTGCCAATCTATTATATATAGCATAAAGTGTTGGCGACATTAGTAAAATGCTTTATAGTTTCTTTCAAAATTCAACAAGAGAATAAGTATTTGGAATCTATTCACTTCTTTGCTATTCACATCAAATTTCCTACGTTTATAAATATAGCTGTTTGTACAGTACAAATTAGGTAGTACATCAAAGAACGGACAAAAATATTTAGTTAGTAGATTGGTACGCTACATAAATCATTTCAGACGTAACTTAGATTTTCCGAGCACGCCGATTTAACAATGAATTTTAGTTGAATAAGCTTTTTAATCAAATTTTTCCACCAAGCTATATGATTATCTGACTTCTCGAAATATCAAGGTTCAAAATTGTAAATTTGACACGCCATCTAGACTCAACTAGCATACATACATTTAACATTGATTACAGAAAGGACTAGTAATATGAGCAGACTCTTATTAACTGACTTTAATAAGATCCGTGGTTAAATGGGTGCGCCAAAAAAATGGCCGAAATCGTTCCTGTTTATGTATTATTGCTTGGTTTATTCAAACATTTCAAATATTATGAAATTTGGCAGAGCGGCCACTTATTACAAAATTTTTTAATAATTTATTCGTCATATTTGTGCTTTTAAAACTTTTAAAACTTTTATAAAACGGTTCTGTGGTCCATTCACATATATAACCTTTATTAGTTTGTTTAATAGTTTAATATTAAAAAATGTTTAAAAGTTAAGATTTCCTAATCACTAATTTAAACAAAAAATTTAAATTTACTTGAAATCGTACGTCTTTATAATGATTATTTAGATTTTAAAGTAAATATGTGTTAATTAAAAGTTTTAACGCAGTTCATTTTGTATGAAGAATAAACAATTTATTTAAATTGTTTATGTACACATCACCTCATCAATCATAATATTTTATACTTTCATAAAATATACATATATATTTATAAAAAAATTAAATAGTTATTCAGTAAAGTACTCAAAATTCTACATACATATGATTTAATGTTTATTTAATTAAATTTTAATTAAACAGGTGAAAAATGTCTTTACAAACTTCATACTAACATATCGGCATGTAAATTTTATTAAGATAATTAGTCAAAAATTGAAGATACTTTCAGGATTAAATAAAAAAATCTAATATATGAGATGTACGAGAACATTTTAAAGCATGCTCGATTATATTCAAGCATTTAGACAGCTAAAGTGCTGTTCACACTAACAAATTTCTTGGTTGAAGTTGTAAAATGAACTTTGTTAGAATGAGGGATGTTTCGTTTATATACGCAAAATAAATAATCATGCTAGGAGACTGAATCTCCCTTTCAACTATATTTGCCGCTGTTGTGGTGAGGATGACGAAAGTGCCTCCCACCTGCTTCGAGAAATCCCTCTAAATAGCATTATAAGCTTTATCAAAGCTTCTAGATGGTTTTAGCAATAAAACGGTAGCACAATGGGCCTGTGGGCCTAAGTGGATCCCCCTGGGATCGCCGGTATAACCTAACCTATATACGCAAAAAAACAGGGTTGTATTTAAAACTATTACAACCGATATTACAGTTTGATGTCAAGTGGTAGTTAAGTTTCAACGAAAGAAATGTGTTAGTGTGAACACTATTTTTCAAAAAAACCAATGACTATGTTTTAAGCATCGATCTGAACACAATTTAATTATCTTAAACAGCTAACCTACTCTAGTTTATTTTGTTTTAAACAACTACGTATAACATCGAATGCTCAAACACTATAAATTCATCGAACAATCCCAAAAAGCTTGCTTCTCTCCAGCATTTGGTTCTCGACTATTCGATGCTCCACTGTAGCATAATAAATTTGACGCTTAAAGGGGCTTGTCTTCATTCTCAATATTATCAATTTTTTGCCGTGATTATTTTTCCATCCTAATCATCTACATAAATATTATATATGTATAAGACTTGTATATATAATAGAAACTTATAAGCAAAAAGCTGTATGTCGATTAAAATATTAAAATTGTTTTGAAAATATTTTGCGCAGTTTTGGCAAGATTCCCAATTGAATATATGACAAAAAAAACAAAACAAAATTAAACAATAAATTTTTATATTCTTTATTTTTAATTAATTTATTTATTCTTATTAATGCGTTTCAGTGTGAAAATGTTATTTTATAATTATTAACACAAATATAAAAAATTTCTAAAATCATACAGCAACAAAAGATTAACAAATATTTTTACATAAATATAAAATCTAAACTATAAGAAAAAAATTAAAATTGCAATAATTTTTAATATAAAAATATATTCTTAAATTTTCTAGTACAAAATCATCCACACTTCCCTTTTGAAATAATAATCATATCATAGGTTAAGTTAAGTTGAATTGACAGTCTAATACACCTCTCCCATCTATGTTACATTACTCTGTTCTATACGATCACTGTTCTAATAATCAAAACTCACTTATATTATATTTCCACTGGCTTCATTAGGGCTAACAAAGTCAGTGGAAACGTACTATTAAGCACAAATAATGACCCGTTGTAATACCATAGAGAATATAGTAGGTATACAGTTGTATGTATTTAGTGAAAACCATATAGATTTTATAAAAGATCCATATATTTGTTTAAAAAACAACCCAAGTGTACTTTAAAGCTTTATTAACAGTCTCAATTTAAACTGATTTTTGAAACTATTTTTATTTATCGGATTGACAAAAATCCGAAAATTCTTAAAATATCTCAAGTAAAACAGAAACAACAACAAAAATGTCAAGAAATTAACTAATATTTTTGTTGTTTCTTCATTACTACTCGAATCCTTTTACAAAATGTTATTCTAGGTTAGCCACGCATACTACAGTCTTCAGTGATCTCCAGTGATGTATATGGTAAGCTGGAGGTGATTAGGTGTTAAATCCTTTTCTTGACAATATAATCTATAGATAATACACTGCAAAAACATTGGTCAAAAAAAATATATTTCCGTACAACCTAGGCTACACTCTTGGCGATGTTAGCTGGAGATAGTTTGAGACAGGAGAGCTAATTATTATTTAAAATAATTAAATCTGTGTTAAAGTTTAGAACTATTGTGTCTCTAAACTTAGTCACATGGGCAAATTTTAGGTATATCAGTACACAACGATTATCTGTTCTTATAGTAAAGACAAGACCAGAACAGGACACGACCAGAGCAGGACAAGAGCAGATCATATTCGCTTCAGTTTCTTTTTGAAACGAATCCTTAGTTTGTTAGTTTAATTGTAAAGGAGTGGGATGTAATGCTCTATATAGGTACACCTCTTAATTGTACAATCTATGCAGTGAAGCGACAAAATGAATAAATTATATAGTTTTCAGGCTATGGTTTTATTCGTGCATGATCATCACTGTTTTTATAATTGAATACATTTTTACGCCTTATCTCAACTTAGATCATATCGTATATATTACAAATAACAGAAGCCAATTTATTTACATTAATTTTATTTTTATTTTATAGACTTTTTAGTGTGTATCTATAAATAATGCAAATATAATGGAAAATAAATTCTCATTAATCAGACAATGTCATTCTAGGCACAACTGTTAATTTGGCTTCATTGAAAAAGTGTTAATAATACAATTATTTTTACTAATTTATAATTAATGGAAATATTTATTTCTCATGTGTTTTTATAATTAATAATTTATTGCTTACTTGTAGGTAAATACGTATTAAATTTTTATGGTAGTAAACAAAATTCGTTTACTTAATTTCAACTAAATTAAATTAAATTAAATTAGAACTGCACATGTAATTCGGTCGTTTACCCAGAACGTGACTTCGACGTCGAG